TTCGCTGGTTATTAAACCCACCTCGGGTCCAGACCAAATTGGGCTTAGTAAGCGGCTGGGCCTATTAACCGTGGGCTTAATAGCCGGCGACTACTGTAACAAGAAACCATGCGAAGCTAACGCTACCGTGTACTCTAGCCATACATGAGAATCCGTTTCTAGGCGCATTCACGAACACCAACTGGCAGTGAAAAAACGTGACCATTTAACCGAAGTGGCTATGCATAGCCTTGATACAGGACACGGCTTCGCATGAGGCAAAACACGCATAGTCAGAGTTTGCCTTTCCAAAAACGGCCGAGAATTTCTTAAGGCCGTGTACTCCGACGATTTATACATGAACCGGCACATAGAATTAGATGGGATTTATATATCTCTCAGGGGAAGATTTAAGAGACGGGGACCGCACAATACAGACTGACAGAAGTCACAAATACTAAACAGCTCTTACACCATATGAATATTGATTTTTTCCGCACGTTTAAAATTTTGGTTGTTCTTTGGCCATTCTCGTTAGCCCGAAGACGAGCTGGGTAACCAGTCTCAAAAAATCACTGATTAAATTAACCTCTTTATCTCAACGAAAATCTTTTCTTCAAACTCACTTTCCTCTTTTTCCTCTCCTTCCTCTCCTCTCCCTTCCCCAACTTTACTTTCTTAGTGTTTCCCAGATGTTCTGAAGCTCCTGCAAGCAGTCCACCTCTGTGAGACCCTGGTAGACCTGGTTCCCTTGCTTCAATCCATCTGCTTTAGCATCTGTCATCTCTGCAAGGAGGGTGACCAGTTCTGTGTGCGACTGCATGAGGCCAGCTTCAGGTGGGCACGCCTCCTCTCCGCAGTTTTCAACGGCTTCGATGTGGTGACTTCATTTCCCCTCGTACAGCAACTCGTCTCCCGTCTAACGGACAATTCCGTGGCCTTCTACACCGACGCAGCTAGCGGTGAGTTTTGAAAATTATTTTATTACTTGAAAAAAACCACCCATTTTTTTTGCTGCACCGAGCTGTGGTCATGGGGCGGGCCTCGACAACCACCGTTTGTGGTACCCGCTATATAATTATCATATATGCAGTTATCTTTACGCGACCCTTGTATCGACTTTCCCTCACAGTGTTGGTGAATGTTCAAATTTTTTCATTTTGCATACGTTACATTCCATATCGCATGAAATGTGTTTTCAGTTCGAACCAATTACTTAGGTACGGTAGATTATCTTAGAGTACAATCGCGAGATATTTCAGTCCTGGCAGGAAGCTTAGTAATAATAACGAGTGTTGCTTAGGATTACCAAGTACAGTTGGTTCTTGGAATTCAATAACTCTGGACTAGTTATTTTATCATAAAATAACTTACTCTTTATTAGATTATTTATTAACTAATGATCCATTACAGATCGATCACTGTTTCGGGAATTTAATCATTTTACGGTTGTTAGCGCTTCGCTAGGTACTTTGCGACATAAAATTTTTC